GAGGGTTTAGTTTCTTTTTCTGTCCAATTTTTAGATGAAGATATATTCTAAGACTCCAGGCACTTCACATAAATCTTATTCATTGAACATTTTGGATAATCTACTTGCAGTGCTTTCTATGTGTTGTTTCATTGGAAATAAATCAGTAGTATAAAACAAAGAATTGGGAAATGTATGATGCTTACTTTTAGTGTTCAGTGGGCTGGTTATGTCTCCTTGGCATAGAATATGGGAAACAGAGTAGGTGACTGTGAACATGCAGACCTTCCTTAATCAATACTATTTAGAATATGAACTACATGATCCTGCTCAATTTATAGGGAAATAAATAAAGCAAAAGAGACACTCTGGACCCCAGAGGAATTCCTTTCCCAGAGCAATCAGACATCTGGAGTTGTGGTCGGATAAAAATCAATGAGTCTTTGAGGGCAGTATATCTTTAGTTGTGGGTGAGGGGAGGAGCACATAATGAGAGAGGAATTGGTGAGGGTGGCAGGCAGATATGAAAAAAAAATTGATGAGAAAAAACACTGTAACATTTTCTCCCTGCAATAAACCATGCCAATGTGCAGGCTATAGCATAATTATGTATGTATATTTATATCATTGTGAATTCCAGAAATAGTAAATAGGGAAAATTTCTGTATTAGTTGACTTGTGCATAGATCAGATGCCTTCTCTTATGTGTGTTTATCTATGCTTGTGTTTTCTGGCTCTAATGGATAGGAGAAACATCTCATTTTTTCAATAATAAATTGTAATGAACCATGTGCACATGAGTGCTTGACAAACACTATCTGACTGTTTGAATTATAAGTTCACAAAATATGACTATATAATGAAAACTGGTTTTTAAATGGGGGGCAGGGAAGAGTTTGTTCCACTGTTATCACAGATGGCTTGACCTTTCATGTATCGATCACTCTGCCTGCATTTACCCACTCAAAAAAATATTTCAGCAAGCAAGCTTTTACATCTATTTAGTAAAGAAATGGTACCATCATGCCTTCAAAATATACATAGTCAAAGAAATGAAAATATGCCTTTTTCTTCTCATTTAGTATATATTATTTAGATTAGAAGTGAGCCACTGTTTGAAATCTTATTGAGGAGTATTTAAAAATGCATCTAGTTATTACTATAGTTCTTGTAGAAGCTCCCTTTGAAATATTTTTAATTTCTCAAATTCAAGTGATGAATTTAGACTGTTCTATTATGATCACCATAAATGAGATGATTTTATGACAATATTACATACTTTATTTTTTCTAGACAATATTTTCCAAGAATTTTAAAATCTAAGTTGATGCTATAAAATGAATCCTGGATATCAAACACTCTAAGTGTTTAAAACAATACAGAAACATCTGGAAATGAGGATAGGGTGAGATTCGTCATGGAAACAATTAATCATTTAGCATTTAAATTCAGACATTGTGAAACAATTACTACTGTTGAAGCTGACTTTAAAACATATCTCATTTGAGATACTGTGCACATATCTAAATGGGATTTGGCAGGTGGATAAAAGATTTATTGATTCTTGTTTCAGGGATTGCTGTAGACTTGCTGCTGCGACAGGCTTTCAAGCTAGGTTTGATTCTTACATAGCAAAATGAACCCTGGAATTCTTTCCTGGCATTGCAACCCCCACCAAAGTGACATGTGTAAGTGACAATAAGCCAGCTATAAGGAAGGTTCTGAACTGCATGTGGAACAGCTGCTGTGAGCTATTGCAGAAGCTCAAGAAGAAAAGGCTTTGAGGAAGAAAAATTGATTGTTAATTAGTCTTTAAATGCTAAAAATAGTTCTATAAACAACAGCACATACTAGTCCTAATGTGTCCTTACCTAGACAAATCGCTATCCAGTTACTTGCTCCCCTGTTGACTGGACTTTGCTTTCATCACTACTTTTAGTGAGAACACAGAGATCTGGGATATTTAAGGCACTGGTTAAATGATATGTGATCTGTCAGCTTAAAAACTGCTTTCTACCCAGACCTGGTATCTGCAATTTTGCTTTGATTATTGTAAATAACATAACCCAAGACAAGGAGTGTGGAGAGGATTTCTATCCAAAGCACCAAGACTGGAAGGATAAAATAAATTTCTAAATTATATAGTCAAAAACTCTATGAACCACCTTAAAAGAAAATGTCAATAGACTTGACTTAGATCATAGGATTCATCTTCATTTTGGGAATGAGGCCACTCAGTTACTCAAGAGCAGAACCCCAAACTTTCCTACATCGTAATCCAGCAAGCCTTTCCCTTCCTCACTCAGAATGGTCTAGGAAGACCCAGGAATATCACTAACTCAGGATCCAGTGATAGGTCACAGTAGCTTGAAGTCAGACACATCAGGCACAGGGTACATTACAAGGAGTAAGTGTAATCTTTGACTTTACACAGTAGCAGGACCTTTGTGCTTTGACTTCCCTCAAGTAGCCCTCAAGTTATGGATATATTTTTAGAGAGAGAGGATCCATATCAAAAATCTTAAGAAAAATAACATGAACACTCAGTTAAGCTGTTTATGTGGGATCAGCCACTTAGGCTGAGAGGCATTAGTGACTGCACAGCTTGCCAGGGGTTACAACTTGCCAACCCACTAACCATGTCTCACAGAAACCTCGCCATGCTTCTGCTATATTTCCAGAAGTGTTTCAGCAAGTATCATATGCCTCCCCGTGGACTACAGCAGATCCAGAGAGTTTTTGCAGGAAGTCATCTCTTTCACAGGGCCTTCCCAAGTAATTATTGATCAAATGGTGGACTTCTGTGTAGGAAGATAAAATCTGCCTGTTTGCATCTATCCCTCTCAAATTTCAGTCTCTTAAAGATGACACTGAAATTTGTTCCACCTGAGGGTTAATTTCTTGCAGATTCTGGTTTGTTTGATCATCACAACTTCTGGGTAAGGGAATAATCTAGATAGCTGAGATAAGGAGAGATTAAATTTTGCTTCTTAAGTACAGATAAGAGGAAAGATGTGTGAAGTATTAAGAAGAACAAGGATAGAGGAGACATTAGAGGAAGAAGTAGTAGAGAAGAGTAGTAGGGAGTGTGGACAGACCCCCTTTAGAGCCCTTTTTCAAAGAAAACACAGAGAATAACTTCTTAAAACTCATTTGCCTTGTGGCATGTCTGTGGGAAAGGATTGACACTCCATCAACTCCAGGCAGGATTAAAAATGCATTTGTTAGAGTCAGGGAAAAAAGAGTCAAAGGCAGAGTGAGACTGGGAGCGGTGAGAGGCCTGACAAAGTGCTTGCCGCATGGCCATCAGAGAATAGGGAGTGTAAAAAACTTGCACACATGGCTTCATCTATAAAAAAAACAGAACCACTTGGCATCTCTCTAAGTAACAAATGGATCTAAGGGCTAGAAAGAAGGGTTGTTGGCAGGAAGCAGTCCCCAGGGCAATGATATTTTCAGACCATGTGCATTTCCCTATAATGCATAGATCATGGATCATAGAAATCTGTTCTACCTGAGGGCTAAATCTTGCAGATTCTGGTTTGTTTGATCATCACAACTTCTGGGTAAGGAAATAATCTGCATAGTTGAGATAAGGAGAGATTCAATTTTGCTCCTTAAGTGCAGATAAGAGGAAAGATCTGTGACGTATTAAGAGGAACAAGGATAGAGGAGACATTAGAGGAAGAAGTAGTAGAGAAGAGTAGTAAGGAGTGTGGGCAGACCCCTTTTTCAGCTTTTAGGACTTGGGCTTTAAATGAAAAGCTCTGTTCTATACGAATAAGTAAAACAGACACGAAGATCTGAAATCTTTCTGTGACTGAAACTCTGGAAGAATACACCTTGCGCACAGCAAAGCTCAAAGGCAAGATTCCTATAAATTCTAGCTGATTGGCTTTTGATCCCAAATTGAAGTGCTGAAGTCACTGGTGGACTAATGAATATGCAGGAAGAGGGATCCCTCAGCAGATATTGTAGCCACAAACGAGTTTAATTTTAAAACTCTGTTGCACCATAGTGAACCAGTTGTTCTGCTTTGAAGCCTGTGAAACATGGAGACAGCAGATCAACTTCGTTCCAAGTCTCCATTTCCTTCCTACCTATTAGCTAAAGTAAACTGCTTTTCATGACTCACCCTTGACTACATGTTGACTCTGTTCCCCTACCCAGATTAAAAAAAAAAAACAAAAACAAAAAACCTAAAAACAAGAAAAGTCAAACAATCAACTCTTACCTGCTAAAAAGACAGGATCAACAGATACATTTCAATATCCCTTTTCCCTCTCAAGCCTGATACCTATTAGCATTCAAAAAAAAAAAAAATCTAGGCCATAATTTCTGGCAAGATATACTTTGAGATTGAATTGACAATAGTGGACAGGATATTACGACACTCATACCTCTAATCCCAATGCTTTGAGTCACTAACATTGTTTATACCAATTGTGCTACTTCAGAGTGAATGGAGAGCTTTATTGTTATTTCATTTTAGCCAGTCTTGTATCTATTACGGTGAATTCTTTCATTGTTGTATCAGTTATGCTTAGTTTATATTCTTAAAAACATTTAGGACCCTACAACAGGTATAAAAATAATCTGCTCTTATTTAGATTTAGCTTGGGTTTTCACATTTGGGTTTAAACCTTTGGATTTTCACATTCAAAGTTTTCTAGGCTGTTCTTCCCAACATTATTCACTTTCTGTATGCTGGAGACCATCTGTAACTCCACTCAGGCCTCATGGGCCCTGACATTCAGGACACAGGCTAACTCCAATGAATCCCTTTGCAGAGCCTGGGGCTGATCACTCTAAATTAAGAGCAGGCTCTATTTTTTAATCTTGGCCTTTCACTAGATAAGGTAACATGGCAAAGAATGCATCTTACGTTTTAGTAACAATGGTGTTCCTCAGGGAGAATTAGCATCACGATGTTTTTTAGCACTTTAGCAGCTACTTTTCCTCGTATTTATTTATTTATTTATTTATTTATTTAGAGCCTCCCAACGCCCTCTTGCTGACGTTGGTCAGGGGAGAGACGCCCTCTCTGAAGACTGGCCAAGCTGTCTCTTCCTTTCATTAATGGTGCAACCCTGTGCTCCCGCCCGAGCCCTGCATGGAAGTGTAATCTTCCCGTGGGGACCTTCTGTTGTCTCGCTTTGCTCAGAGAACTCAGCCTAAATGAAATATAAAAAAAATTAACTCCTAGGAAAAACAAAGGCTGTTGCCTCCAGGATGGCTCCAGTGCCTGAGGTCTCTCCTTGTCTGCTGGCCTCTCCGATGCGTTCCCACCCTCGTCCCTCCACGGAATCCAGGAGTTGATTCGCAGCTGTCCAAAGCGAATTCCCCAGCCGGCAACCTGACTCCTCACCGCCATGGGTTCCCTCCTGCCTAGAATGCAGAATGACCACCAGGAGGCCAGGAACAAAAACATTTAAATATTGCATTTATTAAGGAAATGTCAAATAAGAAAAAAGTCAAAACGGTGTCACGAATGTCAAGAGCACTTTTGTAGCGTAAACCGTGCAGTCACCAGCTACAAGTTCTATTCCGGGTCTTTGGCCGGGGCCAGCTGGGGCGCCAGCCCTTTCCAAAGACCCAGTTGAAAATGCAATAAAAGAAACAACTCACCCCCTTCACATCCACAGGCTCCCCTCCCCCCACCCCTCCTTTCACGAAGACAAAACTCCAACCCTGGCAGGCAAACAGGCCACTAGGGCAGAAAGGGACTTATCAAATATTTGTATTCAAGCAAACACACACAAAATCCCCTAACGTTACAATCAGTCAAAGGTATTTATGGCCCCTCCCGCCCGGGCTGGGAGGCGCGCGAATACGGGCAAGTGGGCGCGAATCCAGACACAAATTTGTGTCTTTCCATTAGGGTTGTTGAGTGTATACACGGGTCACTTTTCCAGCAGGCCGCCGGGCATGGTGCCCGCCGCTGCCCCTGCCCGCCGTCTCGCCTGCCCCCAGAGTTTGGCCCACCTGCGGGTGGAGAAGGGCTTTCGCTCTTTGCCTCTCCCCGCATCCCACGCTAGCGGCACCTTCCAAAGTTCTGCACCCTCCTGGCCCTGTTGCCACTTGCTGCAGAGTCCACTGTCAGGGCGCTCTCCTCCTCGAGCCAGGCACGGGGACTTTCAGAGTGAGCGAGAGTGAGCTTCTTCCCGAAAGTCAGAACTGGAGAGAAATAACTGACTCCGACAGGTTTGCTTTGCCCAGTCGCGGATGGTGAGGGGGCGCGGCCCGGCGGGCGAAGTGGGGAGACGTGGGGCGGCCGCCGCAGGGGCCGGAGGGCCGGTTAGTAGGGCCCCACGACCACAGCCTCCACCTCCTTAGACGGTCTCCGGTCTTTCACCAGGAAGTTGATCATTCCCTCCGACTTGATGAGCAGGTTGCAGCCAAGAAAGAAGATGCCGAAGACCACCGTGAGCGAGAGCACGCACATGACCGCGATCTGCACCACGCGCATGATGTACAGGCTGCGCTCGTCAGGGCCACCCTCCGCAAAGCCGTCGTCGGTGACCACCGATGCCTGGGTGCAGCAGCGCACGGCGCGCTCCAGCGCCTCGCTGCTGTTGGCCAGGAACAGGCCCGCCACATCGGTCTGATTGCCCAGCGCCAGATTCATCGCGGGAGCGGGCGGGCGCCCCGGGAGGCGCGGGCCGGAGCGGTCGGGAAGGCGGCGGCGCGGGAGAAACAGGTGCCCGGCTGAGCGCTCCCTCGCAGACTCGCGCGCGCCGGGGTTCTCGCCCCCTCCTTCCAGAGTCCCCGCGCCGTGGGAGCGCCCCGAGAGCCTTCCCGACGCGCGCCGCAGCCTCTTCTGTGCGCGCTGCTCCAGCCCGGGCGGTGCTTGTTCGTGGCGCTCGCTCTGCTGGGGGCTTTTAGAACTTGGCGGGGCTGGGCCAGCGGGGCCGTGGGAGGCGCGGACGGCGGGGCCGCGAGGCTGCCATGAGCGAGCAGCGACCTCTCCCGGCGGCGCCGGCGCTCTGCTCCAGCTGCTGCTGCGCCCGGGGAGCAAAGTAGCCAACCTCCTGGTCTGGCTTTGCTTGTTTCGCGTCTTTTTCAGCTCCGAAGCCTTGGCAGAGGTCGCTGGACTTTGGTGGCTTGGTGGATGATCACAGACTCTAGGGTGAGGGAGGGTCTGCGATGAGCCGAAAGTTTCAGAACCGGGCCACGCCAGCGCTTCGGGCCACCGCCTGCCGCCCCTCTCACCCCTGGGCGCGTGCAAAGTGGTGATGACTCGCAGGTGCCAGATGGTGCTTGTAAATGCACGGGCGGCCGCTGTGCCTCGCGACGAATTTCTAGTAGAGTAGGGGTGATCTGTGAATATATATTTTTTAAAGCAATGATTTTAGGGAGAAAGAAAGCAGGGAGGCAGGGGAGAGTCGAGTGGGAGGCAGTGAGGCAGGTTTTGTAATGATTTTTGAAGCAAGGAGAAAGGGTTTGGGGAAGGAGAGGATCTTCTGGGGCCTTTGTATTGAGCTGCCAGATCAGGGTTACCTCTCTGGTAGGTGAGGAGAAGGTGGGGAAGAGAGTCCGCTGGCTTGTAATCTTAATTGCAGATGACTTTTTGGATATGCTTCCCGTGTTTTTCTTTGCTGGCAGTAAATCAGTTGTTTAAGGGAATTGCTCATCAACATCCATCACCCAGAACACTGGTCACATGCTGGAAGCCTTCTGCATTTTCCATAAGCTGATGCATTTCACCTTAGTTATTTAAAACAAAATACAGATGTTTTAGTGGCCAGGTTGACGCTTCAGCCCATTCTGATTTTGCTCTTGGTTTCAGTAATATATCTCAAAATTATCCGAGTATTTCTTAAACTCCACGAAAATACTTATTTCTCTTTTCTACTTTCTTTCCTCTCTTTTTTTTCCCTCCCCTTTTTTCTTTTTCTTTTTAAAGATTTATTTATTTATTTATACAAGCACTGGGTACAGTCAGAAGCGCAGGAGGGTGAGAGAATTCACCAGAGCCAGAGCAGGGAGCAGAGCAGGCAGAAGGACCGAAGTACACTGCTGAGGGGAGCAGCGGGCGGCAGGAGAGGTCTGTGTACCATGTGGGACCCACCTCCGGTGGCCGGGGAGCAGCCGGGGATCGAACCAGCGCTGCAGAGGCTGCGGGTAGCTTCGCAACCCAGCGCTCAACCTCTGCGCTCAACCGCTGCGCCACCGGCGAGGCTCCCCTTTTTTCTTTTAACAGCTGGAAACTTATAACTTGAAGTCTAGTCCAAACTTGATAGAATACACTAAATTTTCACTAAGATATTGTAGTTCTCTTGACATTTTAATCTCAATTCTTAATTTTATTCTGATTGCATTTTACACCTTATTTGTGTTCTTGAAATATCTCATATTCAGAGGATTTCTTAAATGTTTTTGCAATACTTTGTAATCACTATAATGTAGACTGGATTGCCTTTTAGTTAAGAATTTTTCAATTTCTGTATATTGATTGCCAGATTCAATGAGTTTACATTCTCCTAATTAGCTATTTTATTAGGGGAGAAAGGGATGCTTAAAAGCCCAGGACCTAGGCTTCTGAACCTTCTGTCACAATTCACCTGGTTTATTGCTCTAGTTTGTAAGCACATTTGTAAGGCCTAAGCATAGTAATAATAAAAAATTCTTAGTAATATGAATTGAATCGTCTGAATTTGAGTAAATTTCTTGATCTTAACAATATTGATGTTAACAGTGGTACTGCTTTAGTCAAAATTCAGTGTTAAAATGATCAGAACTTGGAGGTTTTATATCATAAAGCTTTTTCACCTGGAAAGCACAATCTAAACAGAAGTAAGGTAGTATTCTGACTTATTTTCTTATAGCTTTAGTTTCTAATTAGCTACAAACAATGAATAGGAAGATAATGGCTATTCCCATGAGTTGGTTCAGATTTCCAAGAATGTGGTTTTGTTTCCTTTGTCCTTTCTCCTCAGATTTTGTTGAGTACAATTGCTTGGAATATTTACAAAATTACATTTTATCACTGTAAGGATGGGGGGACCTGGGCCACTAGAACTTTTCTGCAGAAACCTTTTATTATTTTTTTAAGTGAAACTTCCCCCCCCTCACCTTTAATCCTCTTATTCTCCTGTGTTTTAGGAAAATCTTAACAGATATGGAAAAAAAGATTCCTTTAAGAACAGAGGGAAGGAAGCACAATGGTCTGTGATGGTAGACTATGGGTGATTTGGTGGTGGATGCATTATGGTGGTAATGCCTGATGGGGGTACTCATATATCACCGCAATTAAAAATAAATAAAAAAAATGCACACAGTTTTAATGCTCCTCTTTATCTGTTTTTCTGGGTGATGTGACATTATACCCATTGATGTGTATCAATATACCCATTGGAAAGAAGAAATGCAACTACAAGGTGGAACACCAGAAGGAAAAACAAAATATAACATTAATCTATATCTACAAGTCATGTAGAATAGGTGGCATACTTTTAGTTCACTTTAAATAAAAAATTTTAATATGTCAAATTCATTGCTTTATAGTGACCTCTCCTATTTCACTGCCAAAAAAATAAATCACTTAATTTTCAGAAAGTTACAGGCTCGACATTTCATGATACACATGTTACACAAGGAAAGGCATACTTGTTTATTATCTATGAAGTATAATAAATTCTACAAAGATGTTCCAGGCTTCCATTTGTGGTCAGTTGAGCAATAGTTTCAATAGTCTTGATGTAGGATTGTGCACTTCCAATAACAAAAATCTTTTACTTGGTTCTCTCTTTATGTGTATTACAAAAATCTTAAGTAGACATTTTTTAAAAGGAGAATATAATAATATTTATTATTTAAAAATTAATAAATAATATTTATTAATATTTATCACTCTAAATCAGGGTTTTAAAAAAATACATTACATTGTTGGCACAATATAAATAAGAGTAATAGGAAGCATTCATATGCAGAAATCATTCATAAAAGCACTCAGTACCTGAAATACAAGAAGAAGCTGGAAATGAGCAAAAAAAGGTCATCAAACTTTGCAAACAGATATCATGAGAGCCAAATAATTAAACTCATATTTTTTACCCTTAGATTGAACCCTCAGATTCTCTCAGAACATATAGACTTTTACTTTGCACACAGTTTTAATGCTCCTCTTTATCTGTTTTTCTGGATGACATGACATTAGTAACTATGTCTGTTGGAAAGAAGAAATTTCTAGAGATTGAAGCTTTTACAACTATAGGGGAGAAAACCAGAAGGAAAAACAAAATATAACATTAAACAGCATATATAAATTTTCTGAGTGTATACTCTCAGTTTGGAGACATTTAATGTAGAGACAAACATTCTTAGATGGTGAGGAGTCTGGTAAATGCATCATGGACTTTGAATCCCGCTGTCTTCACTTATTAGCTGTATGATCTTGGAAATGTTTCTTCACATCTGTGTACCTCATTTATTTCTCTGTGAAATGGGGATATAATTTCACAGGATTTTGAAAAGATGGTCTACTCTGTGGAAATAACTGACAATAGTATCTAGATCATAGCTAGATCTCAATTTAAACTACTACAATAGTTACTTAGGACACATAAAAGTGCATAAATTATAACAGGAAAAAAGTTAAATTTTATTCAATATTTTCCATTTTAGGAGCCTAGAAGATGAATGATGGAGTTTGGAAAGATTTCCATATGAAGTAATTGAGCTAGTTAATTAAAAAATTCTAAGAATGTAGAAAAAAATGGTACCCTTGTGCATTGTTGTGGATTATAAAATGTTGGAGCCTCTGTCAAAAGCAGTATGGTGGTTCCTCAAAAAATTAAATGTAGACTTGCCATATGATCCAGGATTCCACATTTAGGTATATACTTTGAACAGTTATTTGTATACCAACATTCATAACAGCATTATTCACAATATTCCAAAAGTGGAAACAATGCAATTGTCCAATGGTGGATGGAATAGATGAAGGGGTAAATGAAATGCTGTGTGTGTGTGTGTAAGAGAGAGAGAAGTCTTTAAATGGAATGAAATTCTGAATATGCTATAACATGATAAACTTTGAAGGCCTTATGCTAAGTGAAGTAACACAGATACAAATGGACAAATATTATTTGACTCCAAGCCTAGAGTAGTCCAATTCATAGAAATTGAAGAAGAATGGTGGTCATGTGGGGTAGGTCACCAGGGCCTGGGACTGGGATTGATCCAGTACAAAGGGTACAAAGGGTACAAAGTTTCAGTTGGGGATGATGAATACATTTTGGATGTGGATGTTTGGAAATGGATGTTTGTGATGGTAGATAACAATATGGATGTACTTAATGGCACTGGAAACTGTCAAAATGTTAAATTTTATATATATTTAATAAAAATCCTACATATTTTTATTTATTTAGACCTAACAAATATTAAATTTTTAAAATCTAGAAAATAACTTCCCAAATTCATTCATTTTTCCATATCTCAAAAATAACCATTCTTAACTAAGAATAGTGTCTTCCTATCTTGTTTTCTGTGCTTATTTTAAGTTAGTCTTGATCTTGCAGTAAATAATTTTATACCTTACTTTGTTCCCTCAACCCTGTGTTTTCGCTGACATTAAAAACTTCTTACATACAGGTTTTAATGAGTATGCAGCACTTCAGTATGTGAACCGACCATTGTTTACTAAGCCAAGCAGTAGCATTGGACGCTTGTTTTGCTCTCAAATATCATTGTTCGATCAGTTACACACAAAGAACATTTTTACTCAAAGTTTTCTATATTTAGATATTATTGATAGGATAAATTTTTAAAATTGCAATTTTTAAAGAAGATTTATTTATGCATACGTACAAGAATTGGGGCACAGGC